CTGATGAGTCGGAGCTGTGCGGGGACTCCGGGGGTCACTCTGAGGCTGGAGGTCCCCTCATAGCGGCCGCAGCGGAAGCTCAGGTCTCTGGCCCCCGGAGGCCCCGAGTCGAAGCGCAATCCTGCCACCCGAACAGAGCCGCCGCTCTGGAAAAAAAAGGGAGGGGGGCACGTGTTCAGGCCCGTTTGGTCAGAAGAGAGGTCCGGTCAGTTCGCTATAAACGCATATGTCTAGTCTTTTTGGATAAGAATTAACATTTTCAGCGGAAATTTCCTCATTCAGTTCAAACAGTCCAACAAGTAAACTCCAGTTTGACCTCGTTTCTGAAATTCCCAGAAACTTCGAGACAAAACAGGTCAACAGTTTTCTCGTTGATGTAAACAACTAAACCATTGATTTAAATAAGGATTTGAAAACAATCGTGTTCCCTTTCCATATTAAATAGGACAGGGATGTGGGAGAAAAATCACGAAGAAGCTTTAATAGTTGGAGTCGGCTGTTTTAAGGCCTTCGTTTGCCTGTGTTCTAATAAATATGCCCGGGTTCGACCTATTTAAAAGCCCGGGCAGTCTGCAAAATCTGTCCGCACCCGAATAAGTCAGAGCCTCAAACAACTCAAAAATGAGTCCCTCGATGCTTTCACAGTTTAAAAACTGGGCCCCTTTCTGATATTCTCAAAACAGATCTGGCAGAATACAAACTTTAAAAAAAAAGTCGGGGATGGATTCGCATGGTAATCCTTTACCCCGATGCTGTCCTGGAGCTTTGCACTTTGTGGATCTGCTGCAGTAAAACAGTAAAAAGATGAGCAAAACCACACCTTCGTGTCTTTAAGGACTTAAGGCCTTCTCCCTGTGGAATTCAGCTGAACCCATCCTGTGGCATCCAGAAAATTCCATCTATCACTTTTCGCTTTTTTTTTTTTTTTCAAATTATTTTTATTGAAACAAATGATAAGATAATACCAATAACGGCTTCCTATTCACTTTTTTTTTTCCTTTTGAGATAAACATATACTTGTGCAGGTATAACTTCTAATATATAAATACAAGTATAAATGTTGAAGTAGTCACACCTACTACATTTACAAAAAACAAAAACAAAAAAAAATAAGAACAATAAAAGAAGAGAACAACCCCCCCCCCCATTCCCACCCTGTCTCAGCCCAACACATTCAGCAGAAAAATAAGATAAATAATAATAATACTAATTTTTAAAAAAACTTAGCGCTTTTATCTCAAGTCTTTCAAAGAGGAGTCATGTCTTCGTCCTGCCAATATTATACTTTGAACTTCTTTTCCTTCTGCAAGTTTAAAATGCAAAAAGCTTCTAAACTGGTGTCAGATTGGGTGGTTCTTTTCCTCACCTGCCACGTGTAGGTGACCCCAGATTGGTGGAGGCCCTCGGCCTCCAGGGTCAGGAGCTGCGCACAAGCGGGGGTGAGCTTTTGGGTCACGTTGTCGAACTGGTCCACGAGCTCCACGACTGTTTCGACAAACGGGCCGCGTGTCAAAACGAAGCGTTCGGCTCAAACGAAAGCGCCTCTTTTGAGCGTCCGGCTCCAAACTCACCGATGTGTCCCTGCAGGGTCTCGCCCAGCTTCACGGCGCCCCGGGGCAGTGTGGCCTTCAGCTGCTTCGGGTCATCTGGACAGGGCCTGAAAACATGGTCATATTTGAAGTCCTTTGGATCTGAGACTTTTTGCATCATTCAGTAAAAGCTTTGCTCAATCCCCTGTTGTACACATTCAGATATACCTGATAACAGCCAGTAGAAGACTACACCAAAATATATTTTTGACTTATTGCACACTAATTTGATCAAAATAATTTCTTTTTTTTGTTGTTGAGGTGCCAAAGAAAGACTTCAGACTAAAAAAATCCAATATTCTTCCTATTTTTCTTGGATTAGGCTTTAAAGGGTTAAGAACAGCAACACAGACTGACAACAAAAAAAACATCCAACTGAGTTACAAACTAAACTGATCATCTTTTTTCATGCGCCACAAAGACAAGACTGCGCTAACACGAGCAGGAACAGTGGGCTGCATAGGAATACACCGAATGCTTTCCTTAGAAAAGCAGCTTTTCAAACTTCCTGCTGAGTGAGAGGGAAAAAAACGTGGCGCGAAAGGCTTCGATGGTGCAACTTCCTTGACTAAAAGTCAAGTCAAGTGAAACTTTATTTATAGAGCACATTTAAAATAACCAAAGTTGCCAAAGTGCTGTACAGGTAAAAATACACATAGAAAGATAACATCATTTAACTCATTGGCTGCCAAAGAGGTCTATAGACGTCAATTCAATTCCAACCGTTGACTGCCAAAGACGTCTATAGACTTCTTTTATGTTTTTCAACGCGAGTGGCTTGGGGGACGATCTGCTAAAGCTTGTCCGTAAATATCAGGCTTCTAGAGTATGTACTAAAAAATTGACCCTCTAGGTGGCAGTGCCACTTTTGATGGGAGATGAGCATAGATTGTAGGCAAATAAGAAAAACGCAATGGTTCGCTATGCGAAAAATGGCGCAGGTGAGACGCAAGTCGAGGAAGAACGGAATAAGGTAGAAACAAAAAAAGATTTTCCTGATGAAAGAAGAGAGTCTACTCTTTCTTTTGGTGTGTTCGGTGTTTACATAGTCATAGCACAAACTATTCTGTGGCTCTTGAAAAATCAGTCAAAAAAACTCTGGCGGTATGGGACTCTCCGTTCTGAAAATGGCTGGCAGTCAAGGAGTTAATTGTAAAAAATGTTAAAAAATAAAAATAAAAATAAATAAAAGCCCTATTCGGAGTCAGAGTGGCCGCTTACACGACAGTGAAGTTGAAGGAGACGTCTTGGTGCTGGTAGGACACCTGGCAGAAGCGTTCCTCCTTCACCTGGGTGGGCACCGGGACGTCGGGCAGCCTCCCCTGGACCAGACCTTCACGGTCCACGTCGCTCGTCCAGTTTACCTTGAACAGAGCCGGGCGGGTCTATGTTTATGTTTATGTTTATGCATTTGGCAGACGCTTTTATCGAAAGCGACTTACAGAGTAAACACAATATTACATTTATCATCACTATGGCAATAAGCTGCATAGAGGAGAACCACTGATCAGAGTCAGTGGTGAGATAGAGATAGAGGTAGAGGGACTACAGAAGGAGCTGTGGGGGGGGTAGAGGTACGGGTTAGGGTTAGGATAGGAGATGCTCTTTGAAGAGGGGGGTCTTCAAGAGTTTCTGGATCTGGAGTATCTGGATTATCCCTCTAAAAAGAACATTAGAGTTGGACTCCAGCTTGGTTGTAAGCTCCAACAGATATAAGGGGCTTTAAAAGGCCGGTTTAAGATATTTCCCTACCGAACTTCATTGTTGACAATCTTCATCACAGGGGACGCTTTTATCCAAAGCGACTTACAGAGTAGACACAATATTACATTTATCATCACTATGACGATAAGCTATACAGAGGAGAAACACTGATCAGAGTCATTGGTGAGATAGAGATAGAGGTAGAGGGACTACAGAAGGAGTTGTGGGGGGGGTAGAGGTACGGGTTAGGGTTAGATAAACGTTCGCTGTGATGCTCAGGGACTGGACGAACCTTGGTGGCGGCGGCCGTTTCGGCGGTGAGCGGCGCCTCCCGGCCCGACTCGTCGAACAGCCGGTAGCTCAGGGTCCCCAGCGCCGCGCCGGCCCTCCGCTCCAAACGGTCGTCGTTCCGCAGCGCCAGAGGCTGACCGTCACCGCCGTCGCAGTACAGCCGCATCGCTGAGACCCGGCGGCTGGGCGAGACCTTCAGCTCGGCCCAGCGCGGCGCCACTTTCTTCAGATGCTAGGAAAAACAAGAAAAAAGAAACAAGGATGGAAAACCATCCATCTATACACTATCGTAACCTCTTATTCC